CATGTATTGCCTGCATGTAGGTAAGTGCACCCGTGTTGTGCAATGCCTGTGGAGGACAAAAGAGGCTGTCAGATCCCCTGGAACTGGAGTTAGGAACAGTTGTTAGCTGCCACGTGGTGCTGGGATTCGAACCCACTCTTCTACAAGAACAATCAATGTTCTTAACCACTGAGCCTTCTCTCCAGCCCCACTTTATATTTTTTATGTATATGAGTGTATTGCCTGCATGCAGGTAAGTGTACCTGTGTTGTACACTGCCCATGGAAGTCAGAAGAGGGTGTCAGATCTCCTGGAACTGGAGTTATGGGCAGTTGTTGCCACCATGTGGGTGCTGGGAATCGAACCTGGGTTCTCAACAAGAGCAGTCAGTACCTTTAATCGCTGAGCCATCTCTCCAGCCCTGAGAAGCTGTTTCTTAATATACACATTCATGTATCACAGTTCTGAACATAAATCAGTGATAAACTTCTGTGAAACTCTACTCAAAGAAATTTTTTATTGCAAAATAATTACTTTGCACTGTTGACACCAACTTTCCTTATCTCCTCAAATTTTTTTTGATGAAATCGGTTTCAGCACAAATCTGCAAATACCATCTCCCCACCCCCACCCCACAGCAAACTTTGTTGTAATTCCCAGGAACACAATGAATGCCTGTGTGGCCTTCATGATTATGTCAAATAAAACACTGGAAACCATAGCAGTGGTTGTCTTCAGTGTCAGTGTTCTTCTTGGCCAAAGGAGAAACAGATGACCTTCTTGTGCATTTATTATGCAACTGAAATGACACTGTATGTAACAATTCTGGAGCCTGCTTTTGGACTTCATTTTTTACTTTTCTAAAATATTATTTACTCAATATAAACACACAGTAATATGTAAGCTTAATTATATTCACTATATATTATATATGGATGCTATAAAAAGATTTTTTAATATTTCTGCAAATAGACATCATTGAATATAATCACTAATTTTCTACTTAACTGCTATATTATACAGTCCTAAAACAAAACAAAACTCAGAATTTACTCCAAAACAAGTCTGAAATAAAATCTATTTAAATTGTCCTGTATAAGCAATTCTGACTGAGGGTATGTGAAAATTCAGACTCTCATGAGATTTTTGAACTATCTGTGGTGTTTTATTTGACTGCTCATGACAAAGGTGAAAATGTGGAGGATGGGAATTGAAGAGAAGGCATTTAAGAAGGGCAATATTAATTTTACATGTGGAGAAAAAAGCCAAACAAACAAAACACAACATATAGGGTCAGGCAGATGGTAGGCTTTACCTGGGCAGAGAAGCTTGGGCGGGTACTAGGTGTCCAAGTTGGAGCTGCTCCCTGGGTAGAGTTGGAGTGGCGGGAAATCTGGGCCAACATCTGCCCTGCAGAAGATGACAGCTGGACAATGGTTACAGGAGGGGTCAGACCACTATTCCTAGGAAGGAACAGATAGAAAAATAAAGGATTAAAAGGTGGATTTATCACAGACGCTATGAATCAAAGGACAGTCAACGCTATCCCTAGAACCCCTTGATTTCCTTGGAGTTAAGGAAACATTGATAAATTTGAAAAACACAAGAAAGATTGACAGTCACACATTGACCACACACAGAGATGGAACCTAGAAAATGGCAATAGAATAGGTGCAAAAAACAGGGAAGAAAAAAGCAGCTTGTTTGCCTCACCCTATGTCCTATAAGCTCTACTGCTTTGTCTGAAATGACCAGAGAAAGCAAGGGAAGAGTGACACTTGGATTCAGCATGGAATCCCTCAGAGCCCTGTAAAGCAGCACACACATATGGGCTCACCTGAAATTTTCTGCCGGCCGGGGGGTAGGAGGGAATGAGTTTCCCTGGGAGAATAGCTGTTGGGTGGCAGGGACAGTGCTGGAGGAGATGCCTTTACTCTGATCTGTGGACCAAAAGGAGTTGGGGGAGGGCCATCAAGGGGCTGTAGTATATAGTTTAATAAATTCCTATTTACTCACAAAGTACTATAATTTATGTGAAAACATGTTGGACGATTACTGAGTGGGCAGTAGCAGTCCCCTCAGTAGGCAATCAAAATGAGAATATAAAAGGAGACTGAGGAAGAAACATACCTGCATTGATGTTGGAATAGATTTCTGAAAATCTTGGATCTCTATCCTGGGCAAACAGACCATCTGGCTTCTCAAGGGGTTTGCTGTGTTCTGGCCCTGTAGTTGTCACAGACTGAACAGAGACCTATAGAATAAAAATAATAAAAACAATCAATAAAGATTTAGTATGACAATTCAATAACCCTAAAATTCATGTAATATACACACACATTCTCACTGGCACAAAGAGATACTTTTTTAAGGAACTTTCTTCTTCAAGGAAAAAAATGCATACTCACCTGGGAATGGTTGTAGCTGGCCAACCCATCTCTTCCTGGTACCATGTCCAATTCTGTTTGCTGTTGCTGTTGTCTATACATTATATAATCAATGAGAAAATATAGAAAAATTATTTTAACAAAGAATTTCGGGGGAAAGGTCTTTAAAAAGTAAATCACATGGGCTGGAGAGATGGCTCAGTGGTTAAGAGCATTACAGAAGACCCAGATTCCATTTCCAATGCCCACATGGCAGCTAACAACCATCCGTCACTCCAGTTCCAGGGGATTCGACACCCTCTTCTGACCTCCATAGGCTTTGCATGAATGCACTTACATACATGCAGGCATAACACTCATACACATGAAATAAAAATAATAAAATATATTTTTTTAAAAAAGGAAACCATATAACAACAACTAAAAATGGGATTGCACATCACTACCACCTGGTTAGTGATTGTCCAAAGGTAATTATTTCACTGTTTCTTACCTGGGTGCCAAGTGCCCTGTGCCCATCTCTAGGGATAAATTAGTTGTGGGACCTAGCTGTGACCTCTGGATTGTGTTGGACAGTGTAGGTCGTGGTTCCTGGCTAGAGTTCCTATGAAAATAAAGTAGAAAAGAACAGAAAAAGAGGAAACAAGGAATTACTCTATACAACAAATTCTATATATTCACCTGTAGGTGAGATAATCACTAATAGATCTTCTTTACAAAGTTCAATCCTGTAAGTAATATAAGACCCTGGTTTCAGTAAAACACTCAGTAAAACATTTATACTATGGAGAACATAGTGCAAAGAGAAACTATGTCCTGAGGAACAAAGGCCCATCCTGTTTGCTGTTTAGTTTGGTCTTTTTGAGACACAGTCTCACTGTAGCGACAGCTGGCCTGGATTCGCTATGGATACCAGGCTGACCTTGGACTCACAGAGATCCACCTGCCTCTGCCTCTCAAGTGCTGGGACTAAAGCCCCTCCCAAGCTCTGGGACTAAAGGCATGCAACCACCACGCCCTGCTCACCTCTGTTTGAGTTTTGGTAGGTGGGTTTGTTTGTTTTGTTTTGTTTTGTTTTGTTTTTGAGACTTGGCCTCCTGTAGTCCAGGCTAGCCTCAAATTCACAAGGATCATGATGACCTTTAAATTCTGATCTTCCTGCTTCCACCTCCTATGCACCACCACACTCAGTTTATGCAGTGTTGGGGATCAAACACAGGAACTCACGCATGCTAGGCAGGTATTCTGTGAACTGAGTTACAACCCCAGCCTATCATGTTTGTTTTCGACTCTCAAGCTATTCAATACCTGGATATGATGAATGTGTGCATGCCTACATACTGTGTTTTTAAATCATAGGTAAAAAACTGAAAATGCGATAGGCGTGGTGGTGCCTGCCTTTACTCCCAGCAGAGGCAGGAGAATCTGTGAGTTCAAGGCCAGCCTGTTCTACACAGAGAGTTCCAGGCCAGCTGGGGATACAGAGAGACCCTGTCTCAAAAAGACAAAAAAAAAAAAAAAAAAAAAAAAAAAAAAATACAAAAAAAAACAAAACACTGAAATGCATATACTGAAACATCTGATCTTCAAAAACTGATTTCAAAGTCTTTCCATAAAAACAGCTTAAATGGCAAAGAAGTTTGTTACTTACTGATACTCAATAAGATGGCTATTGTAAAAAATACAGACAAGAACAAACAATGAAAAGGATGTAGAGATGGCACACACCTTTAATCCCAGAAGCAGAAGCAGGCAGAGAGATCTCTGTGAGATGGAGGTCAACCTGGTCCCCAGGCCAATTGGGGCTACAAGGAGAAGTTACCTCAAAAAGACCATAAAAAAGGGGTGGGGAGGGATGGGGAGAAGCTAGAATCCCCATATACTGCTAGTAAAAATGTAAAACAATGTGGCAGTTTTGGACAACAGTTTGGCAGCAGGAATTCCACTCCTGGGTATAAATAAGGGACATGAAAACATACATTTACACAAAACTAGCAAAGGAATATTTATGCCAGCATTCTTAATAATAAGAAAGTGGCAGGAGTGGTGGCGCACGCCTTTAGTCCCAGCACTTGGGAGGCAGAGGCAGGTGGATCTCAGTGAGATCCAGGCAAGCCTGGTTTACATAGAGAGTTCCAGGCCACAGGGAGACCCTGTCTCAAAAAGACCAAAAAATAGTAATAATCAGAAAGTGGAAATAACCAATGCCCATCAACTGATGAATAAAAAACATGGTATAAGGTGGCAGGTGCGAGGCGGGAGCAGGTGCAGGAGAGTGAGTGGGCATGGGGGGGGGTAGGTAGAAAACATGGTATGACCATACAATAAAGTATTAATTCACAACAAAAAGAAATGAGGTACTGACTGACATATACTACCACATGGGTAACCCTTAAAAACATAGCAAAAGAGGTCATTCATAAAGGAAACATATTCTGGCTCTATTTATACAAAATATTTAAAATAGGCAGATTTACAGAGAATAAATTAAAGGTTGTTTAGGACTTTGGAAGGGGGGGAAATGGACAATTTTAATGGGTTTCTTAGAAGTAGGGATGAAAAGTCCTGAAATTAGATAGTTCTAACAGTTACAAAACTTTGTGATATACTAAAAAACAGTACGTATATTTAATGGGGGTGGATATATGGCATGTGAAATGTTATCTCAATAAAAACTGTTTTAAAAGCTGAGAGTTGGGCATAGTGGAGTATGCCTGTAATCTTAGAATTCATGAGACAAAGGCAGAAGGACTGCTGTGATTTGAGGTCAGCCTGGTTTACACAGCAAGTACCAGATCATTCAGGGTTACATAGAGAGAACTGTTTCAAAAACTCAAAATCAAAACAACAATCTAAGGTCGAAAAAGAAAGCTCAAAGGGAGGAACAAGGATTGGTGAGAGTATAATGTATGCTCTGAAGTAAACCATGGTCCATGGGTCAAATTCAATCCATTGCCTATATAAAGGATTATTGGAACTCAGTCATGTTCTTTCTGTGCCTATTTTCATACTCCAACAGCAGAGCTAACTAGTTGCAGTAAGAGCCACACAGCACCCACAAGTCTAAAATATATATGATTTGGTTCCTCATAGAAAAATTTGTCAGGTGAAAATCCTCGTAGACTAAAGCAATAAACTGATTGATAAAACAAAATCCTGGGGTGAAGATGTCGCTTATACATAAATCTCTGGATTTGATGCTTAACAGCAAAATAAATAAGCCAACCAATTAAGAAGGAAAATTACAAATAATAAAATATTTTCTAGAAAGGGCTGATATATAAAATTAAAACAAGAACCCTCCCATATTAAGAACTAATCTTTAGGAGCTAGAGAGATGGCACAGCAGCTAAGAGCACTTGCTGTTCTTGCAGAGAATCTGAGTTCAGTTCCTAGCACCCACAAAAGACAGCTGTCTGTAATTCTAGCCCCAGGTGATCCAATGCCCTCTTCTGGCCTCCTGGGCACCAGGCAAACATATGGTGCACATACATACATGTAAGCACTCACACATACACATAAAATAAAGTAAATATTTAAAAAATAATTTTTTTGGTCTTCTTTTTATGTCTATGAGTATTTTGCCTGCATATGTAAGTGCACCCATTGTCCTGCAATGCCCATGAGACGAGGATGCTGAATTTCCAGAAACTAGAGTTACAGACAGTTGTTTATTGCCATGTAGGTGCTGGGAATCAAACCTGGGGTCCTCTGCAAGAGCAGCCAGTGTTCTTAACCACTGAGTCATCTCTCCAGGCCCCTTTGTTTGGTCTTTTTGAGAAAGGGTCTCCCTGTAGCCATAGCTGGCCTGGAACTTGCTACGTAGACCAAAATGGCTTCAATCTCACAGAGACTCACCTACTTCTGCCTCCTAAAGGCATTTGCCACCACAACAGAGTAATCATAAAATTTTTTAATTAATTTATTTTTATTTTATGTTCATAAGTGTCTTGCCTGCATGTATGTAAGAACACCACATGCATGCAATGCCCATGGAGGTCAGAAGAGGTCACTGGGTCCTTTGGAACTGGAGTTACAGATGGTTGTTACCTGCCATGTGGGTGCCAGGAACCAAATCTGAGTCCTCTGCAAGAGCAGCCAGAGCTCTTAACTGCTGACCAACTGCTGACCCATCTCTCCAGCCCCTAAACAAGTAAATCTTAAAAAAAAAAAAAAAAAAAACCACCAAAACAAAACAATTGTTTTTCTGTTTTAATGTTTTAGAAAGAAAAGAGGTTTATTAAGTACACTGCAAAGTGCAGAAGGTTGGGCATTAGCAAAACTACTGAATTACAATTATTTATTAAAATTTACTCTATCTTGGGCCAGCAAGTTGGTTCAATAGGTAAAGGCCCAGCCTGATGACGTATACTGGATGCCTGGGACCCACATGGTAAAAGGAAAAAAACACCCTCCTGAAACTTCTCCTCTGACATGTGACACTGCTACATGCCCATGCATGTGTGTGCATGTGTGCACACACAAATAAATAAATGTAAAAAAATAAAATTCCCTCTACCTTGATCAACTACATCAAATCCTACAGGAAGTTGTTAAAAGAGAAACCTTAAATTAATAGTATTTGGTACCAGTAAAGTAGAAGAGAAGGTGATAGCTTGACAAGGCTAAGAGGATGTGGCCCCGGGGAGAGGGGGTTAAGAGGGGAAATATCCCAACAGAAAAGGACTGAAGGGTACATACTTCACATTGGTGTTGGTACAGATGATATACTCAATTTCATCTGAATAGGGGTTCTGGAAAGTAAAGGAGCTTGTTCTCATCCAGAGCCATTCTCGGTTCTTAGATCGAAATCGGAACATGACAGACAGCACCTGGCCCTTTAACTTCACCACCTGAAAGGGTTTTCAGCCATCAGAGGACTTCAAAAAAATTTTTAAGAAAATTAGTAATAATATTCCCATTCCTACAACCTTAAGACTCCCTGAAGCATCAGTCTTTTTCAATGTTAAAATGACATGAGAAAGAAAAAACTAAGGAGGAAGTATATTTACCAAGTTTCTTCCCAGAGTTTCAAACTATATGACCATAAAAGTCAAAAAGGAATAACAATTACTTCTAAGAGAGAAAAGACTGTTTCCTTTGCAAAGTCTATTATAGATATGCTTGCTGAGCTGGCTCTGCAATTCTATACCAAGAATTGGAGTTTTGTGATACTGAATATATTTTATATATTGCTCTTCAATCCCAGCTTTTCCCCCCAAAACTTGATAATTTTGGCTTCCATAGTATCCACAAAGGTAGCCTTAATTTTACTTTGCCTTTTAAAAATTACTGTTCTAGTTTCTGCTTTTATGAACAGAAACAATAAAGAACAGTAATATTAGCAACTAACATTTATTTTATTATTATGATGGGTCAAGCACTGGGCTATATGTGGCCTATGTACATTACCTTATTTAATCTTCCCAACAAGCCTCTACATTTAAATATCTGTAAGAACACTAATAAGGCTTAAATAAGTTAATTAACTTGTGTAATATAAAGAGCTGTAATCTAAAGTCAAGTCCAGTAAATTCACCAAGTATTTTCAGGAGCTAGGACCTGAAAAATTATAATTACAACTGAGTTAACTTTCAATTATCTATAAGAGAACTCTGAAACTTTCCTGCTAAAAGCTACAGATCAGTGAAGTTCCTAATATTTTAAATGCTTTGAAGGCAATTCCTTGGATACAGTTAGTTGAACATAAGACATTAAAAGTAGCCAAAGTCCAGCAGAAATACCTTGGACATTGTGCATAATTTCAAAGTATTCTCATTTTTCTATTTCTTAAGCATGGAGGTGGGAAGTGGGCTCGAAGTTCCACCGCTGGCTAGGGAGTTATTAGCATCTGATAGTTGCTGGGAGAGACCCCCTGGTAGGTTGACCACCCTCCAGGGCAGGTTCCATACTCAAGAGTACTTGGGCAACACAAACTGGACTCCATGGAGGAGGGGGGACATGAAGTTGGGTGTGTAGGGAGGTGGGGGTAGATCTGGTAGGAGTTGGGGAGGGGGAAATATGATCAAAATACATCGTATGAAATTCTAAAAGAATAAAAAATATAAACAAACATAACTATAGGATCTGCCACACTGCTCAAGTGATAAGTGATCAGTAAGTATTTACAGAGTGAACATGAAGAATTGATAAAAGTATATATTTAAACTCAAACCAGGAAAAAAATGTTACCTGTTGGAAGCTGTCTCGTAGAAGCTGTTGGTCTTCAGGATGACAGAATTCTACAATATTCTTTCCTAAGAGTTCCTAGAAGAGAAAAAGAAGAGTAAAATATACACTTTTATGGTCACCTAACCTTCCTGGTCCATCAGCTAGATCTAGACTTAAATTTTATTTCTTCTTTTTTTATCCAAAGATTAGACGTTTTGAGTTTGAGCCCTGAGACCCACATGCTGGAAGGAGAGAACTGATTTCTGAAGGCTGTTCTCTGACCCCCACCTGTGCACCATGGCACATGTACACACATGCACAAGTGCACACACAGACACACAAAATAAGAAAAATGTAATAAAAAATTTTAAAATAAAAGACTTTCTGGGCATGGTGGCACATGCCTTTAATCCCAGCACTTGGAAGGCAGAGACAGGTGGATCTCTGTGAATTCAAGACCAGCCTGATCTATACAGCAAGTTCCAGGCCAGCTGGGGCTGCAGGGAGACCCTGTCTCAAAAAAACTAAAAAAAAAAAAAAAAAGATTTGAGTTACTAAGTCATCTTACTGGCCCTAAGATTATGTTTTTAGAGAAAATTTAAAAAGCTATTTTATTTATTATTTTTATTTTATGTATAAGTGCTTTGCCTGCATGTATTTAAGTGTACCACGTGTGTACAATGTCAGCAGAGGCCAGAAGAGAGTACTGGATCCCCTGGAACTGGAGTTATAAACAATTGTTTAGCTGCTATGTGGGTGCTGGAAATCCAACCCAGGTCCTTTAGAAGAATAGCAAGCGTTCTTAATCACTGAGCCATCTCTCCAGCCCCAGAGGAAAATTTTTCGCCAAGCATGTTGGCATACTCCTGTAATCTCTGCAACACAGAAGACTAAAGCAGGAAGATTGCAAGTTTGAAGCAAACCCATATGAGAACCTATCTCATAATGAAAAAAGGAAGGAAGGAAGGGAGGGAATTGCACACCTTTAATCCCAGCACTTGGGAGGCAGAGATAGGTAGATCTCTGTGAGTTCAAGACCAGCCTGGTCTACACAGAGAGTTCCAGGCCAGCTGGGGCTACAGGGAGACCCTGTTCAAAACACTGAAAAAAGGAAAGGAAGGGAAGGGGTAAGGGGAAAGGGGAAAGGTGACGAGAGAGGGGAGGGGGGAGGGGAGAGGGAAGGGGAGGGGAGGGGAAAGAGAAGGAGAAGGAGAAGGGGAAGGGGAAAGGGGACAGGGGAAAGGGGAGGGGAAGGGGAAAGAAGGGGAAGAAGAGGGAAGGAAAGGAAAGGAAAGGGAAAAGGAAAGGGAAAAGGAAAAGGAAAAGGAAAAGGAAAAGGAAAGGAAGCAGCTTGCCGAGCATTGGTGGGATATGCCTTTAATCCCAGCACTAGGGAGGCAGGAAGATCTCTGTGAGGTTGAGGCCAGCCTGGTCTACATAGTGAGTTCCAGGCCAGCTAGGATAACAGGGAGACCCTGACTCAAAAACAAAACAAAACAACAACAACAAAAAGCCACCCCCGAAAACAAAACAAAAAAACCCAAAGCTAAGTGTTGTACTACATTCTCATGATCCCAGGGGAAGCAGAGTGTGTGGATTCCTGGGGCTCACTAGTCAGCTACCCTAGCCTACTTAGCAAGTTTCTAGGCCAATGCAAGACTGAGCCAAAAGGTAGATGGCACCTGATTAAAAACAAACAAACAAACAAACAAACAAAAAAACAAAAAGAAAAACCACCCAAGGCTGTCCTCTAGCCTCCTCACATATGTACACATGCAAATATTTTCTTCTAAAAGTTTCTTTTTAACTTTAGTATGCATTTAAGGCTTTTGGCTTTGAGTTTTTTCTCTGATATAAAGCAAGGTCTAAGTTCCTTTCCTGAGGGGTCGGGGTGCATACGCATATCTGATAGCTGTACCACCATTTGTTAGAAAGACCTCTTTTCCCCCTAAAACCTCCTGGCACCTTTGCTAAAATCCACTGACCATAAGTAAATCAGACTCTGTTCCAGTCTGTCAATCTGTATTCCCCTACATCAACACCACGTTGACTTGATAACAGTAACTTCATAGTAACTGTTGAGTCAGGGATTATAAATTCTCCAGTTTGGTTCTTCTTCACTGATCATTTCACATACTTAGAGCCAAATTCATAAAACTTATGTAAGCAAATTCAGGGATAGTTAACTGGTCTGCTGAATGAGTAAATTATAGTAACTAGTGCTAAATTTACACTTATTACAAGTTACTATTTCATTAGTAATTATATAAATTATCTAGATAAAGGTAGTTTTGTAGTATAGTTAATTAAAATGAAGTTTTGAATCATCTGTATTAATATCAATAACAAAAAATAAATACATATTTGTGCCTAATAATTCCATATGGTTCCACAAACTATTTCTCTATATGAAGTGACAGCGTTGTGAGGAAGTTAAAACTAAATTAGCTACTAAAATAATAGGATCATCTCTAATTCTGAATTGGGACTGCTATATCTTGGTCATCTCTGGAATTACATAATCATGTAACCTCAACATAGGCAACAGGAAACAGAGGCCTAAGTATCAACAATGCAATAGCTCCACTCCTCACCTGTGGCTGATAGCCAACAGTAGCCACACAACGATGATCCACGAAAGTGAATATTCCCTCAATGTTGTGTCGGGAGATGAATTCTGTTGGTTGGCAAATGTTACTCATGTCTGTACAGCTGGGAGAACTAGTTACCTATGAGTGAAGAGATAAAAATGAGGCAAAATAATATCATGCTTTATGGAAACCTTTCTGATCACTTCATGAACATCTACACAGACATGAGACTAGCAGGTTCATTAATTTCTAGGTAGCTCATCCAGAAAGGCAAAAATGGCCATCACAATCAGAGAGGGCATGAAGTCTAGCTCTACTACTCCCACACATATATTCTTTTTTATATATATATTTTATTTATTATTTTTATTTTATGCATATGGGTGTATTGCCTGCATGTATGTGAGTGCACCCGTGTCGTGCAGTGCTGTGGAGGTCAGAAGAAGGCTTCAGATTCCCCTGGAACTGGAGTTAAGGACAGTTCGTAGCCACCATGTGGGTGTTGGGAATCAAACTTGGGTCCTCTGCAAGAGCAGTCAGTGCTCTAACCGCTGAGCCATCTCTCCAGCCCCAGCACACATATATTCTTTACCAAATTAGTAAAGTAAGAAAATAAAGTTTGTGGGTCAAGTTTCTGAGAAACATGTATATTTACAAAAATATATCAAATCAAAATCTATTATAAACCATCTAATGACAAAATAAAAGGGATCTTTCTTCTTTTGCATAGGGACAAAGGAAATTAATTATAAATTAAAAAGTAAGCACTGTAAAGCTAAAAATAAGAAAGTACAGGGGAAGGTGGTTTGGTGGTATGTGCCTATGCTCCCAGGACTCAGCAGGCTGAGTAAGGTGGGATGGTCATTTGACCAAGGAGTTCCTTGCCTAGGAAAGGACATCAACATCACCAACAAAAAGATAAGAAAAGATCCCCCTCCCTCTCTCTTACTCTTCAATTTTTTCCCAAACCAGATAGTAGCAATGTTTCGTATGAATATTTCTTTAAATTTTAAGTTTTATGGAATTCTTCATATATACCCAAAGTGTCAAAATTAATATGAAGTCCTGAAGAGATTTTTTTTTCTCTAATTGAAAAGGACAGAGGGCTAGAGAGATGGCTCAGCAGTTAAGAGCACTGGCTTGTTTTTGCAGAGGACCTGGGCTCAACTCCCAGCACCCACATGGCAGCTAACAACTATCTATAGCTCCAGTTCTAGGGGTATATGATATCCTCTTCCTACCTCCACAGGCACTGTACAACATGGGTGTGCTTACATACATGCAGGCAATACATTCATACATACAAAATAAAAATAATAAATATTAAGAAAAGAAAAAGGATATAAATGTGAACAATTCCTACTTGCCTGCAATCTGCCAATGGCCACTAGGCAAAACTTGCTCCCCTGGCCAGCCTCAGGGTCATCATCTGGGAGGGAAACACCTTCAAGAAAGGAAAAGGACTTACAGAGATCTCAAACCCAAATGCCTTCAAAGATCATGTGATTAAAGACTAAAAATACATTTGAGTGTGAAGATACTAAGTATAAAACAGTAGGTAAGAAAAAGTAAACAATTATACATAATTTATTATATGTATCACTTGTGTGTGTATGTGTGTTTTGGTTTTGGTTTTGGTTTTGAGACAGGAGGATCTAATGTAGTTGAGAATCACCTTTATTCATCCTCTAAATACTGGGATTGCAAGCATGCACTCGCATGCCTAGCTTTACCCATTTTAATTCTAACAACTTGGAGAACACAAGCCCCACCCAAAATAATCTTTAAAATTATGCAAGATAAACTATATAGGATATGTGACCATATCCTAGGCAGACAAGAGATATTCTTGTCTAACCTACGACATAGTAAACAATCAGGAAATTAAACTAACCCAAACACCAACAGATATTCATATTCCCAAGAAAAGAGAAAACCCAATGTTTTACATGGAAAGGGAAAAAGAATGCATTTCTCCTTTCTTCTTTGTACAAATCTTTTTTTTAATCTAGAAAAAATATTTTCTTAATAGCTAAACAGAAGTATGAATGATCATATATACATTAAATATGTAATTTATACAGAAGGCAGCCTAAAAAGTTAATGTGTCATCTGTAATATTCAAGACTAACTTTTCTCCATTACACAAACTACCACCTACCGGGTACCTGTCATATGCCAGGCACAGAGCTGGATGCTTTCCTTATACTAAATCTAACTTTCATGGTAATGCTATATAGGATGTATTATCTCAAGTTACAGAAGTGAAAACTGATGTAAAGGTCAAGCAACTTACAATAGGTAAACCACTAAATAAATATGCCAGAAATGAAATACAAGTTTTCAAATCAAAGTTCAATCTCTTCTAAAATACATCAACTTTCCTCTCTTTTCTTTTGGTTTCTGTTTTCCTTAAATTCTCATTTCCCAATACCCATCCAGTAGGGATGTAATAAAGTCCATAAGATTTGGAAACTCTAGTAAGTCAGTTAAAAAAGCTGATCTTGCTAAGGATGGAGACTCACAGTTTTAATCCCTAACACTTGATAGGTTGAGGTAGGAAGACTTGAGTTCAAGGCTAATTTAGTTAACTAACGGTCTCAGCCCCCCCTCAAAAAAACAAAATCAACAACAACAAACTGAGGCTCACACCCCATCACAGTGGTCACATCCATTCCTTGTTTAACTTCAAGTTCAAATAAAACCATTCCACCTATTTACATTTTCATTTAATGTCTTCCCAGAGTGGGGGAAAAACCCCTTTTATTAGTGCAATCAAGCTATTTTCCATTTATCCCTCAGCCTGGGATGGTGGCTCACACCTTTAATCCCACCACAGAAGGCAGAGGCAGGGGATCTCTGTGAGTTCAAAGCCAGTTTGGTCTATACAGCAAGTTTCAGGACAGTCAGGGCTGCACAGTGAGACCCTCTCTC